AAGAGCGTCCGGATACAGCAAGGCTTCGCTTAATGGACTCGACGAGGGAGAGCTCGTCAGGGAGGACGGATGGAGACATGCGGCTTGAGAGGAGACGAAGGGCGTAGCGAACGGCTGCTGCGGTGAAAGAATCGCCGGTTGATGGGATGGAGCGACCGCCGGAGGAAAGGAGGCGGAGAACCAGTTCCCTGACGAGGTCGCCGGTTGCTGGGTCGTCCATGGCTGCCGGCGAGCAGAGCGCAAGTGGTTAGGGCTTGGACTCTTGGAGTAGAGCGTGGTTTCCGCCCGTTTCGGCCAGACATCTTTGGATTTTCATTCTTTCGTTTATTTTTACAGAAGCATGGGAATTATTTTCGGGTTTTATTTTTTATTTTAATTTTTTTTGGGCGCTGGAATCAATTTTGAAAAAGAGGGAGGACAGCTGGGACATGGACTGCACTTGTGTTAATGGATAAATGCTTCATTAAACCTAAAATTAGAGCAGTAATAACTCTCATCCATCCTAATCTAACCAAAGCATCAAATCAAAATAATAATAATCAGAATATAGTAATTTTTTGCCTTCCGGACAAGGGGATACAGGGAGAGGATCTAGAATAGAATGAAAGGAACACAAGTGGTGTGTTTGAAGATTAGGGTTTAAGGATATGTTTGGAACAATTTTAACTATTAGAAAGCAAAAAAAAAAAAATAATTTTAAAAAGTTATGGTGGGTATTATATATATATTTTTTCTTTTTAAAATGATAGGTTGTAACTTTTTGACAGCCACCACACTGAAGCAAATCAGGTTGTAAAGCACAACTTTGGTTCGTAGGTGTATACACCAAAGTTGTCGGCATGGATCCCACAACAATAAAATAGCCCGGATGACGGCCAGATGATTGGGGTGTGCTATTGTCCTGCAACTGACGGCGAAATCAAGCATCGGTCGGCAGACTATGGAGAGAGATTATAACGGCAGACTACGACTGTAGTTCCGAACGATTAAGAGCTTAGGCAGGGACACCTGGTCACAGCAATCGATCGATCAACTTTTGTCACGACTGATGAGATCGATGCTCAATCGGGCGCCTCGGCCGGCCAACCTATGGCGTGGTCGCCACTTAGCCGGCCACCTAAGTTGGTCGAATTCAAGCAATCGACCGACTAAATTACTGTCATGTTAAAATTTAAATTGTAATACTCACTCATATAGTATGAAATTCATACAATTAATTAGATCATCAATTGTATTAAGAGTGGTTTCCATAACTGATCCCACATTTCCGTTCTTGTAAAAAAACATGCATTTATAAAATAGGAGGTAAAAATAAAAATAAGGGGACTTTTATCGGTTATCTCTACAGAAAACTTATGGCTTGTTTTACTCTTTTTCTCTCTTCCCTCCTTCACTCAATCCTAAACTCTTGGGAGTGTGTTCACAAAGAATAATTTAGGATTCAACATCCTAAAAGGTGGTGCAGTGAGCGTGCATATGTCATAAATGAGAAGTAGAAAAGACTATGGAAAAGAAGCTTCCCAAAGAGAGATAACACACATGAAACCTAATAGAGATGTTACACAACTAGACGTCCATGCACAAGGCTAGGGCTTATAAGCCCAAATGACCCTCATGATGGAACAATTCGAGAACTAGGGCTTACAAGCCCAAATGACCCTCATGATGGAACAATTCGAGATCCTCTGAGCAGCAATCACTTAGAGGAACAACCAGCCACCTCGTTTCAAGGTTGAACCTCTGGGGGCCCATCCATAAAGCCCCCATCGACGAACCCATCTAGTATGGACAACAAAGTCAGCAACCAACAGACAGAGAGACAAGGCGAGTCCCAACACTCTGACATCGGTGATTCTGTACATGTGAACAAACGATGGGAAGACCATATACGAGTGTTTGTCCGGTCGCTCACTGAAGGGCATTTTCTCGCCAAATCAAAGAGATGATACCCCACAAAGGCTAAGGATCCCTTGTCTGGATTCGTACAAAGGAAGGACCGACTGATCAACCACGTAGCGTTGTTCGAATCATTTGTAGGTCAATTCCAGATTTATAACCCTATATTGTGTCGTCTCTTCTTAATCACCCTGAAGTAGTCGGCCCTTTGGTGGTTCAACGGAGTGTTGACCAAAACCATCCCAAGTTACTAAGAGTTTATGAGACTCTTCGTTTCACACTTCTAAAATGTGCAAAAGCTGAGAAAAGACTCGGACACCTTAATCGACCTCAAGCAGGGATAAAATGAGAGCCTGCAAGCCTATATCAATTGCTTCCAGAATGAGATGCTTGAAGTTAAAGATCTAAAGCCTGATATAGCTGGAATAGCTTTGAAACGAAGAGTTAAAAGCGAGCAGTTCAAGTATGACCTAAATATAATTCAACATGCTACTTTTACAGAAATATCAGAGATGACAAATGGCAACATACTTGTCGAGGAAGATCTTCGAGACATTCTGAAGGGTAAACCGGAGTCATCTGACCATCCCTCAAAAAAGCAAAAAGAGTGGGGGGAAGAGGGGTGGGGGGTGCAGAAGGCACAAGATAATTAGTCCTCTATCGGTC